ATCCATCACCGATAGATACATCAACCCACAAAGTTCAAGGCCCAATTATAACATTATCTAGTTTGCTTGTCAGACCGTAACTAAGTATGTAAAAAATCGCGGCCCGTAATGTACATACTTTTAGAGATGAATCGAAGCATGAAGCGGCCTGCGGTACCCGTAGTGGTACTATTATTTTATGGTTCTATCAGAGGTTACGGGCCAGCGACTTCAATGTCTTTTTATCAGCTGTGCTGTTCGCATTAATTGCTCGTGTGCATATGTTTAGAAGGAGGAAATCCTGGTTCAGTGATTACTTAAGATTTGATACTTGATTTTATTTATTCAAATCCGTTAATTATATTATATATAAAAAAATGTTTCACATTGCAACGCCAAATATTATGCACATTCTTTCAATTTAGATAGTTTTTTTATGATTATTTCTTTATCGTATTAGCTCTGTGTCATGTGACAACTATCAAATTAAAAAATGCACCTCCAAAAACCGTTAATATATTTATACGAACTTACGAAGTTCATCATAAACAAGTCTTATCTTTTATTAGAGTAATTTGTCCATGTACATGCGTTAAAGAATGTCCATAAATTAACTCTTAAAAATGTAAAACGAACTAATGGACTGTTGCACGTTTTAACCCCTCAGGGCGATGAGTACTTCCGATAAAAGAATTACGCGAATAGTAACTTCCTGTTCGTAAAGGCCACTTTACGGAAAACGTCCGTTATTATTTTGATACATAACCTCAATTTTATTTCCCAAGCTGTCATGCGTAACGGACGAACCATATGTTGTAGAAAATTAGTAACCCCAAGTCACAGGTGAACCTCTTTCTTTATAATTTCTTATTGTTTCCGATGCTCTTAAATGCATTGCCAGTGGCGTAGATACCTGATCAGCTGTATAAATTAGTTATATTTAATATTCAGTATTCCACTTTAAGTTCTTTCTTTAGTAAACAATAAATAGTGCAATTACAAATATCACCAAACAATAGATAACATGATTACACTAGAATAAATTGACAGAATTTTTATTGCCGTTCTTATTTTTTTATGAATTTCTTTCCCTGTTTATTCTGAGCCCACATAATATAATTTCCATGATCTGTTCTTCTAGGTACCCTCAGGTAGGTACATACAAAGCCACTGATTCAAAATATTAACAAATTTGGTCTTATATAAATTTCGTATTTATGACAAAATTGTGATAATTTTTTGAAGTAGTAAAACAAAAATCATTCAATAATAAAAACCCCTACACACGTCCCGACGAAACCGATCAACTGCCCGACGCTATGCTTGTTGGTCGACAAAAAAACCAAAACCACTCACGACAGTTGGGTGGTTTTGTCGGGACGTGTGTATACCGTGTAATTCATATCATACATATTTCCGAATAAGGCCAGATTTATTCACATTATACGAGAAAGAACAAAATTATGTTTCTATAATCTATATAGATTCGGATCGGTAACAGTTTTTCAATCATATCTTTTTGTGGAATAAAATGGTCAGTTCATTTTTCATTTTTCCCGTTTAGAGGGTATTGCATATCGATCCGACTTATATCAGAAACTGTTTTAATTTTGTGTTCCAATGTTGATCCTCTCAATAGCCTCGATGACAATATTGTCTTCTGCTGCTCTTTTATTTTTTATTTTCAATCTTCAATTCAAAACTTTGTTCAAAAAGCAAAAAATCTAATGAAAAATTAGTCCATTAGGCACCCAGTAATATCACGTTGAAATTTCCGTTCTATCTGATGTGATAGCATGTTCTGATATTTTACTGTTTAATGAGCTGTTATTGATTAGATTCGGCACCTCGTATACAAAAGTATATAAATGAACACATACTATAGTCTACAAGCCCATGGGATATTTTTATTGGGTTATTTGACCTAGCATGAATCACATATAAAACAATACTACAATATGGAATGACAAATTTAGAAACTATGTCGCCAATTCTTAGCGGTACATGTGCGTCACAGCTAAGATAAACTTACCACTCAAGGGGGTAAGTTTTTTTAGGCCAAACATTTTTGTACGGCATTTATAACTTGGTAGGTAATACAAAAATAATGACCTGCGACCTAATACCGTACAAAAGTATTGGTATCAGGAGCAGGGAAAATTTTTTATTTTCGGAAAACTTTCCATCCCTGGGACAGGAGTGAGAAATCTAAACCGCAACCCTTAATTTGAACCTTTGTATACCAAAATGAATAACATATATTACATATATTAGTATTGATTTATATTTGTCAAATGACCCATAAAAAATATCCCATGGGCTTGCAGTCTACTACGACAACATCTACTTCACTAATTGCGTTATAAGTTATTCAAATGTTCATATATTTAGAGAATAAAAATAATATTTACTGTATTTTATATTTCCAATAATTATCTGTTTTTGTAGTATTTTTAGTACGTAATAGGTGTATTTATCGTCTTTATTTAATTTACAAGTGCTGAATTTTGTGATGTTATTGTTTGGTAAATTCCTAAAACAAATGTTTGTTTGGCTTGGTTTTATTTTCGGTAAAATTGTTTTTGGATATTTTTCTTTAAATTTTTACTGTTTCGCAATCATAGGATTAACAAAATATAAATTTTTATTATTAAAATTATTTTGTTTTACTGTTTTTCTCTCTTAATTATTTTAATTGTTATCATTATTTTTGTTTTTTTTTTATGTAATACGAGCCTGTGCTACGTCTCTGGTTAAAGCAACAGTTGCTGGTTGTTAATTTCTTTAGTTCTATTAGGGTTGTTGATTCTATCTTCCGTAAAATAGACGGTAGCCATATGGCGGGAAATCATGTTCATGTTGGGAGTACTGAAAGTACCAAATCAATTTTGCGAGAAAATGTTTTTAAACCTCTACTTTATTAAAATTAAATGCACATATTTATTGCCTGTTATATAAATTAAACAAATGGATTCCAGCTAAGCTACAATCTTACTTATTTATAATTATTGGATACGAATGGTAACCAAGCAATTTTATAAAAAATTGCTTTTAAATCATGTATATGTAATTTGTGGTTTGTTTTATTTGCTTATATAATATATTCCTCTTAAGCTCACCGGTACATAAATCTCACAATTTATTACAATGACGTCTCTAGCGACTATTAGCACGGGTTGTTCTATTTGCTACCATATAAATATCTGCTTCTGTCAGCACCATATGGTACACTTCAGAGATTTTTTAATATTAAAATTTATTTTTAATCCTACTAAATATGCATTGCTATATTTTTTGTTCTGATTTGACACGTTTGCTTATAGATGTCGTCTACTCGCTTAGAAAAAGCTGCTGTTTATTATTTACTAACTGTACAATAGTTTATTTATAACATTGCAAAGAAAACACAAACATTTTAAAAATATCTTGATTTTTCAAATTAGCCTTTTTCTAACTTGATACACTTTTCTAATGATTTTCAGTAGCGTGTATATTCAGTATATACGTAAGACTAAGACTATGGAATTGCACAAAATAGTAATTATTTATTGTCACACACTGTCAGCTTTATTTCCGTGTCTCAAGCACATAACGTTGTATATCTATATTTTTTAGGCTCATGTGTTTTTTAAAGTATTTTCTGAAAAGCCAAATATGTCCTAATCCGAGTCCGAGTACCGCTTCTCGATGCTTTGACGGATGTAGAAAAAGATATCTCCTTTCTTGAAGGACCTTGTCGAAGTTTATTGTATATTTTCCTGTTTGTGTCGTCTGATAATTTTATAAGTCGCATTAAAACGTTTAAGTTACGAATGGTATATTTTTCTGTCAATTAAGACATCAATATACCCTTTTGTTTAATTACTGGTATGTGTTTTATTTTAATTTGTAGTAAATTAACTTTTCTATTAACGCCTTGGTGGTGCAGTAATAGAGCCTCAATTTACCGTTTGTTAAAAATCATAGATGATGAATTCGAATACGACCGGGTGAGAATTTTTATCTTCTTTTGCAGGATTGCAATTACTAACACACTATTTCTGTCAACCATTTTTCATAATTTTCTGAATTGAAGGAACTTATACAATTGGCTTGTTTACTATTTCGTCATCATCATAAAGCAACCTCTTCTGTCCACTGTTGGACATAGGTCTCTCACATTTTTCGACACTCTTCACGGTTCTGTGCGTCTTGTTGCCATTTCTGGAATATTCGTTCAATGTCGTTCATCCAGCGTGTTGATAGTCGTCCTCTACTGTGTTTGTCTTCTCTTGGGCGCCAGTCATTTAGTTTGATAGATATCTGTTCTTTTTCTTAGGTCTTGGTTCCTTGTTTTGCCTTTTTTGTCACGCCAAGAATCGATCTTTCCATGCGCCTTTGTGAGAGTGAGAATTTGTGCTCCGTATGCCATAATAGGAAGAACGACATTTGGTCAAATCAAATGTCTTCCATTTTATAGCCATCGGGATGTTGCTCTTAAAGATGTCTCTTAGTTAACCATACCATCTGTCTACTATTTAATGTGGTTTAAATACTTAATACTTAATGCATATAGCACGAATGTTATCTCGTTCAATTGATAAACGTCGATTATCTTGTCTTTTCTTCCATGAATTGTTTTTAGGCGTCTTTCAAGTCTGTCATGGTTGCTTCCCTTTTAGCGACATTTTTCTTTGTGGATATATTCTTTCCACTGCTCGCAAAGATACTCCAGTAGCTTCACTTACGTGTTGTGTAATATCATTCCTTACCAATTGAATTTGTATACATGTACATGTAACCTTCTCTCTTTTCTACAAAATATTCTAATATGTCTGCTATGTGGCTTAAAGACATATATAAATATATTTCATAAAATATAAAAGCACAGTATAAATATATTACAGTCCTAGTAAGATTATGCAAGTTAACCGACTCATTACAATAGGTTATTATATGGATTTATGTATAGAAATATTTGGTAAACAATTTCTTGTTAATTTTGTTTATTGTTTATACTTATATACTTTTCTTTGTTGCAGGTATCCCTTCAACGACTCAGAACATGCGTCGCTATTCGCCAAAATTTCCCGAGGTCATTTCGTAATTCCCGAGTGTTTATCGTCACGAGCGAGGTGTTTAATTCGATCACTGCTTAGACGAGAACCCTCAGAACGCATCACCTCAGCAGACATCCTCTACCACCCTTGGTTAGCGAAGGAAGACAAAGATTGGTCTTCGAGGTCCTGTGATCAACTAGTGCCCGAATGCAGTCTCTATGACGATTAGTTCCTGAATTTTTTTCTGTGAAAAATTGTGCAAAGTGCAAATTTTGTGCTGTGTTTTAGATTAAGTCAATTCCGTCGGCAGGCATTCGACGGATTGGATTGGAAGAGGTACAGTTCGTTGAGTATCTCATGATTCTGGTGTTTTGCAGGCAAAATACGTCTTGTACTGTTAAAATTCGTTCAATCAGGTGTCATGAGATTCTGGACGAACATTAGATAGCAATAGTAAGTGCAATGTGATTCAAAAGTTATATTTCAAACTTCTTGAAAGGAACAGTATTACTTAGAAATGGTTGTCTATAACTTTGAATATATGACAATCATTTTTAAATTTTTCTTTACCTACAAGTCTATATAACAAAATAAACAATTTATTCGATTTTAAAAAGAGCTTTACGTAAAAAAATTGAGTCACTTCTTTTCGCAATGAACTGGTTTGTGCCTGTTGCACGCCTGCCCGACGTATTTGAAGCCATGATTTAGTCGTAATGTTAACAAATTGTGGTATTTGTTTTTGTTTTGTTAATCGATGCGCAAAAAGTTTTTAGGTAACTTTTATTTATTTTGTTATCTAATCTAATTTTTGGTGTTTACTTAAAAACGTTTTGCTGCATTATTCCATGGATCGTTCTGATATTATTGTTCATCTAGATTTGTTGGAATCTAAAAATATAGACCAGCTAAGAAGAACTGAATCGTTGTTTTGATTTTAAAGCATCACGTTAGTTTTCTTTTAAGAATTAAGACTGAAAAGACGTTTTAAAACTTACACTACTGTTAAAAATACTGCCAATAAAATTTGTTTTCTAATAGAAACTCGAAGAATGGAAAGGCGTCATGTACACAAAGCATTAATATAATATTGAAGTTGGCAACAATAAAATTGATTGTCAACTGTCAATGACATTTCAGTGTTTTGTCACAGAATAATAAACAATCAGAATGTCCACTCTCAGATGCCGCCTTTAAAGTTTTATAGGACGCGCGCCATGTTTTAGAAGGAAACACATAACACAGACATATGATTTGTGAGGTTATGTAATTGTTTATATTTATGTTTAATTCTATTATATTTATGTTATTATATTTAACAATGTTAATATAATTGTATAGTATATCTATGATTGCCGTAAGTCAATTAAATCGGGTTAACTTTGTCTATAGACACCACATAAACAACACTGGTTCCCTCTAAAACATGGCGGAACGTCTGCGCGAAGAAGATGCGCTACTTAATTTTCCATGGAGAGTGGGCATTCTGGTTGTTCATTATTCAGTGGTTTTGTAGATGTTATTTTTGTTTGCCATTTCCTTTTTTCGTTATGAAGTAGTGATAATGACTTACAATTTTGATTATTGTTTAAAGTATCCCTAATTCTTAAGAACAGGTTCAACTAATGATGTAAGTAATTATGTTTTTGTCAATTTCATGATATTTGTCAATATCACTACATTTTTCACTTAAAATCGTTTTGTTTTTTAACTAAAAAAACTGTCAGATCACGTTTTTTTTTGTTTAAGCACATACTTTTTATCAAGTTTATTGTTGTTGGGTGCAAATGTATTTGGAAGGATTTGTTTTGGTTTTGTTAATAGCATCATGTCATTTGATTTTATTATTTTTTATTTTTCGTTTTTATATTTAAACGAATCAGATTTTATTTCTCTTATTTTTAATAAACAATGCAATGTTTATTGAATCATTTTTTTAATGAGCGGGAGAAAGAGAGAGAGAGAGAGAGAGAAAGAGAGAGAAAAAGAGAGACAGAGGCAGAGCGAAAGAAAGAGAGAAAGCCAGAAAAGAGAGGAAATAGAGAAATAGTAAGAAAGATGATGAAAAAAGAGAGTATGAGGGGATGGGAAAGAAGAAAACTGGTAAAGAGCGAGAGAAACTGTACGCCTGAGAGTGGCCACTTGGCAGTAATTTATTACTCCCTGTCTACCAATGCCAAATAAAGTTTAGTATCATTTCTGAATTGTAAACTTAGGTTACAGGCAAATAGTTCTCAGTTATTTGTTTTGTTCGAAATGCATTTGCGGAGTATGTTTGTACATATTTTACTATTATTAACAAAAAACTCTGTTAAAATATAAATAACTTTCGTGATGCATGTTAGTATTGTGATCTCGGTCAAATTGATTTTGACTACACTGTGTATATTTTTCGAACTGAACCTGTACATAAAATCGTTGTATATTTCGTTTTTAATTTATATAAATATAATGTTAGTTGATATATAATTTATCGTTATATATCATTGTAAATAGCTTCGCAACTGTGAGGAAATGTTCATCGGTGGTATATAGATATGCTGTTGTTCTAATTAAAGAAACATTTTTTACTACGTTGGACTTTTATTTATTACATTTTAATTCTACCATTATGTTTACCGTAAGTCTGGGTGGTGTATGCAGTATTCAATGTTCCGAGTTCGAATCACACCCTGTGAATTTTTAAATTTAAATAAATATTAAAATGAATAATAGATTCCAAAAATAGTGTGCCCTTACCATACAAAAAGAAGGGGGTCAATTAGGCGTCCTTTAACCAGTGCCACTTTTAGTAGTTTTGATTATTTGCGCCACTGGAGAGTTAATTTTTTTACTGGTTCCTCAGGCTAGGACAACTTAGAAGTTAATTAAATAAAACAGCTTTACAAAAGATTTAGAAGATTTAGAAACCAACCATCTATACTGGCGTTGTATTACTTTTTTTCTATAGTAAAATGCATCACTTCACATCGATTCACTTCTCTCTATCAATTATTTTCTAGTCATCATATTAACAAATTCTTTTCAAACTATACTCAAAGTTTAATTTTAAACATGTTATTTAGTTTATAAGGTCAGTAGGGGTAATGGAGGACACTTTCCTTAATTTCAAATATATTAAGATATTTTGGGAACAATTAGTGTGATTAAATTTTTCATATATTTTTATGTGATCGAGGAGAGATAATCCTTCAAGAAATTATGACTTTCAACATATATTTGTGTAAAGCAAGCACTCTATAATTTTTTTTAAATCTTAAGTCAAATATCCTCATTTGCCCCAATGTACGGGGTAACCGAAGAGTGCAATTTTTTTCCAATTTAACTCACCTATGAAATAAAATGGGTCAATGAAGACAAAAGCTTATCATTTAATGCATATAAAAAGATACTAAAATCGATAATTTCTCTTACTAGTTTATTCAGAAATTAAACAGTACATTGTCAACTAAGTGATTAACTAAATTTAAAACGAACAAATTAAATAAAAACAATACTACATGTGAGAAATCTTTGACTCTTTCGAGGCTTGTTCAATGTCCTTAATAGAAGGGTATAATGTTACGATATTTTTGCCTTCTGGAATTGATTCTACCGCTACATTCTCAATCTTCAGATGTATTTGCTATCTAAAAGAACTTCCTAGTCGATCTAAAAATGTCATTTTTACTTCTTTATCGGAAACAATTTCCGATACCAGACTAACGTACCATGTTTTCGAAGTGGTTACTGGAAAATAAGAATTAAGTAAATCTTGGCAACCATTGCAGCCTGATAGTTGGGAAATATTACTAGTGGATGGCTTATCTATTGCCATCTGTTCTTCTCGCTGCGCTTTTTCTTGCCTTAATTCAATCGTATTTTTCTGCGACGAACTAACATCTCCTTTTAAAAAAATTCCAGGCGTATCATCGTCGGTATCATAATTCAAGCTTATATCACTATAACTCTGTCTCATATTCTCTTGCATTTCTTTTTCCAAATCTTCGTTGGTATCATATTCGCTTTCCGAAATATTTTTCTTTAGAACCTTTTTCTTTGTTCTAGTTTGTGTAGTTTTATCTTCTTTGCCTGTTTTTCGTTTTGTAACTTTACTTACTTCTTCTCTCTTTTACTTGACGCATTCGTTCTAAAACCTCTTCGGAAGTTAAAACTTCTCCATATTGAAGTTGCTTAAGCCGTATTTGTCTTTCTTTGACTGGTGTTGGAGTAACCGAACTTTTTACATTCGTCTTTAATTTATTTATGAAGAAATCAATTACATTTCGTTTAGCGGCATTATCATTTGTTAAATCGCTTATGGAAACGTTGGAACCAGAAGTTATTTGACTGGTATCAGCATTTTCCAAACATGTGGTTAATGTGTCCTCGGCAGTCATAATATTGTTTTTTAATGGTAGATTTGTACCTAGCTAATGCACCTTGGTCATAATCATCATCTGGAAATTTATTTCCATCTGTAAATTTACTATCCACTGACAAAGAACCTGTACCAACAAATTCCTGAACGATGATATCCGGAGTTAGATATTTTATCCACAAGTCTTTGATGGCAATAGAAAAATCTGTTTTCGACATTTTATTCTTATTGATAACACCCAAACATTTTCTAATTTCTGTGAGTAATATTCTATTCCATCCTGTTTTTTAGAGGACTAAAAACAGAAAAATCTAGAGGCTGCAGCCTGTGCGTTAAATGGCTAGAAATTAGAAACAAAAGGATTAGAAGATAGGGCCCTTTTATTTTGCAAACTTTTTGGTTTCTTTAATGATAATCGAGGATGTCAATTCATAAAATTCTTATACCAATCTTGACCGGGTTTATTTTGCTTGAAAGGAGTGGACATGTTTGAATCTTGATAATAACTTTGAACGAAAGATAATAATTCTTTATTCATGGGATAACCAAAGTCGACTCTCGCTAAAATTAGCTGTTCTAGTTGACCCTCAACTTCTTTTGAAAGAAAATGAGGGACCTATGTGGACCAGCGCCGGGAGATTCCAGTGAAGTTTTTTTCCATTTATTCAGTTAAATATAATGCTTCTTGGAACTCCATAATATTCTGCAGCAGAGCAATAAGAACGGTTGTGGTTTTTGACGTCGTTTACGACAGCTTGTACGTTTTCTGCCATGTAGGTTTCTCTGGTCCTTTTTTAAACTATTTTCTTACCATATTGCAATTTATTTTAGTCTGTAACGAAAAAAAAAAACGAGTATCAACTAGAAACCCAGTCTCTGTATAATAGTAATTAGGGGTAATTGGGAACGCGTCCGCAATTGCCCTAAAATTCTGTCTTCATTTACCTCTTGTACATATTATTTTGGGGTAATTGTTGACACACAAAATAATCATCTCACAAAGGTTTGCAGATAAATGAAGTATTAAAAAAATGTTCTACTTATTCAAATAAAGCCAACTGTGATAAGACACATTCAATATTTTAAATATTTTTAAGGTAACAGTAGTACTTACCGCAACAGCCGACCAAACCGATATACCAAATATTTTATAGGTTAAGTTTCAGTGTCAGGTGCGTTAAAATAACAGCTTTTTATTGTGAGTTCGTAGATTGCTGGTAGATGTCACCTAGGTATAGAAGGGAGATACAAAGACAAATTCAACATAGCTCTTTTATCAACGATTTTATTTTCGATGTCCTCATTTGCCCCTGTCTACATTTAACCTGATTGGCCTGATAATAATTAAATTTACTATCAAATGATAATTATTTATATTTTATTATTAATTTAATATTTAGTCTGACTTTGACGGGTGTGTCAGAAGTAAACAACGTTTAGTTTGATGGTACGTTAGCAGACGACGCTAGGAGCAAACATTTATTGAATTATTTTAATGATATAATTTGTTTAAAATATAAATAATAAATAATAAAACTACTTTATTCAATTTTAAAAATATTTAAAATTTAAAAATATAGAAAACAGTACAAAGCTTCGCGCTAGTTAGGCTATTGATTATGTGCTTTAGAAAGGAACTACAACGTTAAAGGGGTTATATTGTTTCATAAGAACAATGGGTCTCCAAATATGATAAACAGCGGAGTTCTACTATTTAAATGGAGCGTTTTCGAGAAAGGGGTGAATTTGTCCCTATGCACTAGGGTGTATTTAGGTGAATTCTATGTAGTTTTTCTGTTGTTTAAAATTACATTTTCTATCAAAATGTCACTTTTTAAAGTTAAAAACATTTTTTTTACTTTTCTCCGAATTACGTATTTATGAAAGTCATCAATTTCCACTGGTTATTTTCCTTTTTGGCTTAGTAACGTTTCCGTATCATCTTTCACTTAAAAGTCTGTAAATGGTTTTTTCACTAACACTTGTCATATCGGAGTACATAGTCACTACATTATTAGTCATAAATATTTAACACAATAGTTTTTTCTCTCAGAGAATACGCGCCGTTTAAGTTTAGCAGCAACAAATTGAAACGATGATAGCATTTCAACGCATCTACTGAACATATACGTATATATTAACAGCCACAAGATCTCTTGTGGCTGTTTGATCTGTCTCTCTCTATCTCTCTAGTGCATTGAAACTCCTTACTATCTCTCACCTACCAAAAAGACAACAACCAAGAAAAAACAGATGGTGTCACTTAGTTCTATGAGACGGCTCAGGCTATGTTAATATATACGTCTATGGGACTAAACTGATAACACGGACAGTACCAAATTTGTCACCAGTTTCCCTTACTCGGTCGACAGTTAGGCAGGCACCCCAAAGATGTTTTGTCAAATTCGTCAAAGTCATTAATAAAGGATTATCCCCTAACGAGACAAAGTATTCTATAAATGTAATAGTATAGATATGCCTTATAAGCCAAAAATAGTAAAAGAGAGATTAAAAGAGAAAAGTTGTTTCGTAAAAAAATTAATGAGCGGAAAGATAAAACTTTTACAAAATTCGTGCTTACTTTTTTCTTAATTGCATGGGGTCTTTTTTTAAAGTATATGTAACTAAACAAATTAGTGCACACCTCCTAATTTTTCAAAACAAGAACATTGGTTTTAACCATATTTGGATCACACTACATATTATTTGACGGGCTGTTAAAATTTTCGTTAATTTTTACCGTACTATTTAAATTTAACTTTATTAATCCTCAACAAAACAACGAAAGAGAAACGAGGAAGACCATAAAAACGGTAGCTAGATCTCAAAGCAAAAGTGGGGAGAAACTGGCACCGATCAACATAAAACAGAGAAGAGTGGAGACCTCACGGAAGGCTTTTGTCCAGGAGTGAATGCAAACTGGCTGAAGATAAAGAAGAAGAATCTTCATTTCGCCAATAGACAGCACATTAATTTATGATCAATAATAATTAAATGGAGGCTAACAGTAATTGTCTCGCCACAACAAGTCACACTTTTTATTGCTCCTACAATATTCAAAATAGATTGTTTAATTTACTTGCAACTTTCTAACTCTTCTTCTTCTTCTACTTTTTGTAGATCTTTCGATCTGTTTAATTCTGAAGCTGCCTCTGGTTAATTTCTTGGGAGGTAGATTGCCAACTATCCCTCC